TTAGCTACTGATGAGCTTCCTAGCCTGGCTTCGCATGTCCCGTATTTACTCGGTCATGGGTCCACTTCTAGTCGGTCTTCACTTTCTCAGCAAGGATTGTGCTCAGCAGAAAGGACCTTACGGAATTTTACTCACTGTGGCTACGATGGGTTCGACCTTTTTCGCCTGCACACGGTCCAAACAGCTAGTTTCCTATGTCGTTTTCTATTGCCACTTTCCCTGGTGAGTGTTTACCTTTTACGTTAAGTTTGCATATTTAACTTTTATTGCTTCCATTTCATTAATTTTCTTATATTTTCATTGGGTGCCATTTGTCGTGTCCTGATTTTCGCGCAGTGTAGATGCCGGCTAGTCATCGAATGTCCCAGGGAGGGAAACAATAAAAAAATATTGTCCACGCAGCAGACACAACAAAATCAAAACGGAAATTCAAATTTGGACAACAGCAATCTTCACGACGGATTTTCGAACATCTGGACTGGACACACAGCTCTAATCGCGGTCCTGGAATCCCACCCAACCATGACTGTATCCTTCAACATTTTTTTTTGGACAAATCTGCCAATTCTGCTTTGTGGGTCGTACTACCTCGCCTAAACCATCTAACCCCCCAACACGAATTTCTACTCACACGAATTCATTTCGCTATCACCATATATTTCACAACTTTCTCTTAAATTCTAACATTTAATAAGCCTACCTATGGTACCGAACTTTCACATGGAAAACATTTATATGTATAAATAGATAAATAAGTAACAATAAATAAACAATTTAAATTAATAATAATTTGAATAGATATAAGTTGGAATAAATTAGTTTGGGCGGGTTACATAATTAAATATATTATCAGTCTCGTTTTTATTTTAAGTTTCCGCTTACTGATTTTTTTTTTGCCGCTCGCAGTTTTCAGAGACAACTTTTTAATTTTCGTTGGCAAATATAAATTTAAGAGCGAATAAAAACCTGTGGCCACCCGGGATGAGTGGCCAATTTTTTTGCTGAAAATTTTGATCTCCTGGTGGCTGGTCTTCGTCTAAACTTATATAAATCTATCTTCCCGATCCTGGCTTATCCCTTACGGAACATTCTATAAATATTTAAATTTTAACTCCACTCACATCAAGAAGTTTTTTTTTTATCACTCACTGGGTAAGAACTTCACATCTTTTGATATTGTTCTTTTGCCAACAGAACCGTCTGTGGCCACTTATTTTGCTTGTTTCACTCTTCGCCAAAAACCACTCAAATTTTTCGGACTTAAACTTCGGTTCACTTGGGAGTTATCCGGTTTAAGGAACCAGTTCCATGATTGGACTCAGCTGCCCGACTCCCTGAACTCACGAGTCGTCAATAGTCGTGTATCGATTTTGTGCCTATCGTTATCTGTCTTAATGTAAACAGCTTTGTTAAATTCGTAATTTGTGTATTCTTTTGTTGTTTAACACTTAACAATAGCTTCGGTGTTTCTTAACATATAACCTCCTACGCTTGGAAATAACATTTTTTAATTAATTCTAAATTTAATTTTATCAAAATAGGACGAATATATCATATCAAACAAAAACACCTCTTAACGAGGTAAAAAGTAGTGGCGACAGCGCTCTTAACAAAAATTTCTGATATCAACAATTGTGACGAAAAATGATATTACATTCGGTAAAATAAATAAACTATATTAAATTTATGATTTCGGCCCGCAACAGTAAATATTTATTTACCTACACGTAAATTTTCTGCTGTAGCGTGCCGAATACATAAATTTAATATAGTTTATTTATTTTATCGAATGTAATATCATTTTTCGTCACAATTGTTGATATCAGAAATTTTTGTTAAGAGCGCTTTCGCCACTACTTTTTACCTCGTTAAGAGGTGTTTTTGTTTGATATCAGAAGTTTTTCTTGCACAAGAGTTTAAGTACCCCAATACCATAACTAGGAGTCGTCCCCATATGGCTTGGCTATTGAAAAACCAAACACACACTTTCATGTTCCACTTCGGCTTAACTTTATTCTAATAAGGTATGGGTTGTTTACACTCACATTTTATCAAGAATGAAACATATAATATGAATATTAAACTTTTTAATAACAAGTTTTATCGCTTCAATTACCTATTTTAATAGCACAAGTTTGGAATCTAAAGGGTTGTACAGTTTCAAATTCGAAGAGAAATCTGTCGTTTCTTACATTTCCCGCTAAACTAGCGGGGTTTTTTTTTTAAAGTGGTAGAATAAATAGATCAAGTTTCCCATTTCGATAAGCTTCATGCAAGTAAAGGACCCTAAAACCATAACAGGTTTTCCGTTTGAAAAAATCTAATAAGAATATTTTTCATCAAATTGTTTTTTTTTCATGATTATTCCAGTAAGTATGAAATATTACGTATACGGAGCTGAAACCAGTTGCACTAAAGTTGAGGAATTTTAAGAGCTACGATATAAAATTTAAAAAGAAATCGTTCGACTCAATTTTGAGAAAGTAGTCAAAAAGTGGTTTTAAAAAATAACTTTTTATCGTAACACTTAATCTATTATATTCATACAATTTTACTATATAAAGAGTTTTTAGCAAATTAAATTATCTTTTCCGAGATATATAGCACTGTTCTGTAGCATTAGTTGTTTAGCTACTATAAGCATCTGGCTTTTATTTTTGATTTTCCGCTAAACTAGCGGGTTTTTCCAAAAGTCGTAGAACAAACGTTTTCTATTTCAAGCTACTTTATACACCCATAGGGTTTCCAAAACCCTAAAAATAAGATGGGATGCATACAAACCCACAAACAAAGGGACAAACATTTTCATTTTGGGAAGAAGAAGAAAATCTTGGAACATCGGATTTCAACAAATGAGGTGTCATTCGACGCGTATTCTCAGTAAAAATAAAACTAGCTAAACAGCTTGGGGCTTTTATCCCCACCGTATCCAGCAGCTCCAATTCTCTAAATTTTTACTTTTACGCTTTCACCGCTTTTTCTCCCAAACAAATCTATATTTCGAAAGTCTTGGTATGCAATCTTCTTAGTTAGTGCGATACCTTTCGATTGGTGTATCTCTCTCGTTATGATCGGACCATAATTGCAGATTTTCAATTCTGCGGCTATATATAGTAGTTGTCTTCGCACGCTCTCTTGCGCGCTTCGCCACTAAGTGTACTGCCGTCCACAGTGATAGCTGGCATAGGAACGATTGGAAAATTGGTGGGAAAATAATATGAAACAAATTATAGCTTCGGTGTTTTTTGACATATTATCTTATTCTATTGGGAATATCATTTCTTGTATTTTTAAATTTAATAATTATAACTGCAAGGGTATAAAAACTTCGGCTTGCCGAAATTAACTTCCTTTCTTGTTTTTAAATTTAATTCAAAATTCTTAAAAATACAAAAAATTTTATTCCCAAGTCGTCCGATTTTGAAAAAATTAAATTCGAAATTGAGAACTAATAAAAAACTGTTATTTCCAAGCGTAGGTGATTATATGTTAAAACAAGAAAGGATGTTAACTTAAAGGACAGGCAGACAGACGGACATGGCTAGATTGACTCGTCTAGTAATGCTGGTCAAGAATATGTATACCTTACTGTGTCGGAAACGTCTCCTTCACTGCGTTGCAAACTTCTGACTGAAATCATAATACCGTCTGCAAGGGTATAATAAATAAAAGGGTATAATAATTATTTCATTATTTCTCTGACCGTTTCTTTGACACCTATATGTTAGAGTCGTCCGATTTTAATTAAATTTAATTCGAAATTCTAAAAAATACAAAAAATGTTATTCCCAATAGTATAAGATAATGTGTCAAAAAACACCGAAGTTATGTTTTGTTTCATATTATTTTCCCACCAACTTTCCGATCGTTCCTATGGCAGCTTTATAATATAGTCGTCCGATTTTGATAAAATTAAAATCAAAAATCAGAACTAATTAAAAAATGTTATTTCTAAGCGTATGATGTTATAAGTTAAAAAAACCAAAGATATAATATTTTGTGTTTTTTTCCGATTATTCCTATGGGAGCTATAAGATATAGTTGTCCGATCCGGCTGGTTCCGACTTATATTCTACCTGCAAAAGAAAGAGGACTTTTGGGAAGGTTTCAGCCCGATAGCTTTAAAACTAAGAGACTAGTTTGCGTAGAAACGGACGGACAGGCGGACATGGCTAGACCGACTCGTCATGTGATGCTGATCAAGAATGTGGGCGGAAACGTCTCCTTCTGACTGAAATCAAATTACCCACTGCAAGGGTATAAAAATGGAAAGAAAACCTCAAAAACGCCTAAAGAAGGTCAGTCCAGATGAAATAGGACGCCTAACCCAAGCTGTTGCCCATCATTGTGGAACTTCACCTACAGCGATCAACTTCATAGCAGGGCAAGTCCGCAGAACAGTTGAAGTGCTGGAGGAGATCCACTAGAGAATCCCAGTGATATGGAAGATGCCGAGTGGGACTTCGCTCGCTACATAGACATCCTGCTGCGCGTGTCCCCGCAACGAAAGTGGTTCTGGCAAAAAGAATTTTAATACGTAGAAGTATCTTTTTAGCAGAACCACAAGAACGATCGCCGACGAGCTCTTCATTGGGGAACCACAGGACTCCACCGTCACCAGCTACTTGGCCCCTAAGCGGAGATGGAGAACGCGCTGACTTTTATAGGAAGGAGGAAAAAAGGGTGCCCGCAAAGGGCCAGCTGGAGGAGCCATTACTATTGCCAGGATGCTGGGCGACTTCATGCAGCATCAGCGGAACAACCCCGTTCCCAATCCGACTTTGGATTCGGAACTAGACTGCAGATGGGGCGGGAAAGAAGGCGAAGTATCCTTGGGACGAGAAGGAAGCTTTTAGTTTTAATTTCTTTGTGCACCAGCCAACTCTTCGTCGTCGGGTCTGCTTTTTAGCGCTGTTCTTAAGGGAACGTTCTCTTTGTTTTGGTCGAAATGAAGGCAAAGTTCGTCAATTTTTTGTGGGATAATGAAAAGGCGTACGAACTTCGGGTTTTGCTTTTTGAATTCGTTTATTATTGAAGATTTTTTAAAAGTAATTTGATGGTGAAATTCAAAATGGCGGCTGCAAAATGGCGGCTTTCGTCTGCCTCCGCGCGGCAAACATCGTCCAAAAATTCCGAGCCTGCAGCCTCTTGTAGTCAACTGAAATAGAAAATTGTTATCATTAGTTAAAGTTAATATACTTTTGTAAGGCACTAACCTAATGGCATCAAATTGCGGCCATAAATTGACCGCGTAATGAATGTTCGAATTTTAAAGTTCGATTTCCGTACATTTTTTTTCAGTTAAACCACGTTGAAAAATTATAAATAAATTATTGTTTATTTCCGGAGTAGCTTAGTGACCAATAAAAAAGCATATACTTTCATAAAAATTTTACATGAAGCATATCGGTTCACAGGGTGAAGCTGTGGACGAGGAATTTTTTTGAAAAACATGGTTTCGAGAAAAACGCGTTTAAAGTTTTTTAAAAGTATGACTTAGAATAACTTTTTTGTTTGATTAGTTATTACGGCCACCATTCGATCTTATAGGTTTTCAGGGTCGCTGAACACGAATCTGAAGTCAAAATGTCAAAATTCAAAATGGCGGACCCAATATGGCGGATTTAAAAAAATTTGCATTTTCTAATTTACATGAAAACGTCTGTTTCTTTAGTTTTCGTGGTTAGTGGACGCGTATTAATCATTACTTTTTTAATAAAAGATCACAGTACAGTGGACGTAAAAAACTTTTTTTCCGGAAATTTGTGACAAAAACTTTTTTTTCGAGTTTTCGCAAAAGCCGAACGTTGATTTTACCGAAAATCAACGTTCGGCGTTGGCGAAAACTCGAAAAAAAAGTTTATTGCTGCAAAAAAAAAGAATATTGCTGCATTTTACTTACATCAGGATTTTAGTCGCATATCCCTGGGCCATAGAGGATTCCTTCTTCAAGTTCGAACTGCTTCTGGTTCTGCTTTTCCTGCAGACGATTTGCGAGGCGGGCTTCTCTAACAGTGGATGAAATTTGACGTTCGGCGTCAAGAATTATTTTCTCGTCGGCGTTGTGGGAGTATCGGCTGGCCTCCTGCCCAACACTGATTTCCATGACGTTCATTATCTTCAGCAAAGCTGATCGTCCCTCATTAAAAATTCAGGCTGCGATGTAGGTACAAATTTCAATCACGTGGCTCCCACAATGCAAATGCTTTGGCGCCATTCTCCAAACTATAGCATTAAACGACTCATTGGAATTTTGTGTGTTTGCTCCAACACAACGTTCCAGGTCCGGGTTGGACAGAGCCTCGTAGATCGGCTTGATGGCGTCAGCAACAATTTCTGCGAGCGGAGGTTTATGTTTGAAGGTCTCGAGCTTTCCTTCCGCCTTAGCGACTTGCCAATTGCACCAGCTCTCACTTCCTTCGGGGCACAAATGATGTTGAGGTTGGTCGTCGGTGGAACACTTATGATAATAAGTTGCCCAGATTGCATCCTTCATACGCGACGATGAATCCGCGTTGCCTCTTATCGCTAACCCGTAAAAAAGGGTCAATTCTGTGATGAGTTTATCGGTTAGTTTTCCAGCCCCCTTCCCCCCAAGCCCCTTTGTGTCCTTCTTCAGCTTGCGGAGACGACTTCCCATGCGCTTTTGGACATGACCTACGCACTCTTTCTTCGCCACTGGGCAATCATCGTATGGGTTCATGTCAGCCAGAGCCTTGAAGGTTTTCGTATCTCCGTCGCCAATATAATATTTATATTTTACCCCCAGAAGGCTTTCCGAGTTTTCAAACATTTCGCGCACCCCGTCCACCTCCATTTTGCCCGCACTTTCACTGTGATTCGCCGCACAATCGTCAACATGATCTTCATACTCCGGGGTACCTATTTTCGATGCCCAATTGTAGCAAGCTTGGCAATAAGATGATTTTACAATCACGTCCAAAATCTTGCCAGAGTACTTGCCGATAAGGGAAACGAGACCAAATAACGAAGAAAATCCCCGCTTTTTCCAAGATCCGTCCCCAGAAACAGACAGGTGCGTCGGCTCGTTCCCAGCTGCGGAGTTAGCTCCGATTTCTTCTTTCGCGGCTTTCCTCCGGACGATGTCAAAGACGACCTTCGAAGCGGCGTTCAAATTGTCCAGGAAGTTATAATACTGACTGTTACTGAACGAGTGTTTTATGTCAAGTAAAGAGCAAAACGTTTTTACAGTTTGCAATCCGCACCCGAAAACGCGAAAAGCGAATAAAAGTCGTCGGTTGATCTCGTAAACGTTTTGCGACATCGGAGACGATAAAATTTGGCGCTTTTCACACGAACAATTTACAATAAGTTTGAATCCAACACCAGGTCCTGCCGTGCGTCCAAACTTCACTGCACCAGAACAAGATTTGCACACCAGGAATTCACTCAACGCGTTGAAAACCATCAAGAAGTTGCAAATAACGTAACTAGTGCTTGCGTCGATTTCGATATCGTCAAAGCCCATGTCTTTTAGTTTTTTCGCCGACGAACTGACATGATCCGCACTTGCTTCCCCCGAAAATTGATTCCCTTGGAATTTCCTTTTGCGAACCCGCGAAAGTGACCCCTTTGTTTTCGGCATTTCGTACGAAATTAGTGACAAATATTTCGCGACAGAAAAACAACAAACGTGAGCGAACTCGGCGATTTACAGTTGCAAGTTAGAGATTTTTCGGAACATCTGCTATTTCTTGTAGGTGCTGCCATCTAAATACATTTCTATGTACATACCACTAATACACGATAATACCGACCCTCATTCGTGTTTCGGTGAATAGAAAGCCATTTCTCACCGCGCCATGAATCAGCACCGTAGCGTCCCGCAGCGCGCGTGACGCAGGTGTATTCGAGACGCTCTCATTCACAAACTATTCATCGTATCGAAAAATCCTTTCACACACATACTCTACGGATATGTGGCTACCAGTAATACGATCTCCGACGAGCTCTGCTTTGGGGAGAATCTGGACTCCACCACCACCAGCTATCAGACAGCTAAAGCGGTGCTGGAAGAAGCGTTGGCTTCTATAGGGAGGATGAAATAAAGTCCATCCGCATAGCTGGACGAGCCATTACAGGCCATTGCCATGGTGCTGAACGACTTCCTGGCACCCATCCGTCCCTTTCTAGAGCGTGAATTTCTTATGAAAGAAAGTCGCCGAAGCGTATTTTGGTCGTTGAGCGGAAACCCTCTCTGTGTGAATATGATATTAAGGTAGAGCTCATCGTATTCTTCAATAGTATGCAATGGTATGTACCCTTCAGTTCTGCAGTAGGGACGCGGTGACATGGCTCAAGGCAAAAAGCTTTTATGTTTTTTTTTTTGTGCCTAAAACGATGTGCCGCTGTTGACGTCAGCAGAGAAGTCGGCGCAGTGTAGAAGACTGCCTACGAAAACGATCGTGCAACAAATAGAGGCAGATATTCAGAGCTTCCCTCTCTTTCTTTGTCTTATAATCTGCCTACACTCGGCGCTCTCAGAGACAAATTTCGGCAGGTCCGTTATTTCTTTTGAGTCTCTCCGTTATGTCCGGCTAGCGACTAATGTTTCGGCGGAAAAATTTTCGTTGCGCAGCGACATGTGAATGCCCTAATATTTTAGGAGCATTATTGTGTATCGAAAAAAAAACAACTAATATTGTTTTATAAAAGTACATTATTTGATTATAGTAAAATTAAATAAATTGAATTTACTTTTAATATTATGCTTACGTATTATACATTAATATTACAATATAATTTTTTAACTAAGTTATAGAAGTTAAAATTTATTTAAAACATTTTAATAGTACCATTTTTAAAGAATTCATTTTGTATTTTTTACTCAAAAAAGTAAAAATTATGTAGTCGGATATTTTTCGCTTTAGAAAGGGTATAGGTGCAGTGGCACGCGTTAACAGCGAAGAGAAATTAAAAGAAATCATGTAAAGGGGTGAGAGGAATACTTGGTTCATTCTGTTTGAGTTATTGAAAGGAAAGCAAGCCATTTAAATTGTGCGCAGCAGGATTTACTTCTTTCGTTTTTTTAAGTGAAAATAATAAAGTCAGGTAAGTGTTACATTAAGTTGAAGATGTTGTGCCTTGATCTTAGTTTAAAGTATTAAGGTATTCAATGGGTTCCGTTAGCCGAAAGTGGATGATGAAATGTTTTGCGCCAATAAAAATCCTGCAAAGGGTGAAACACAGCTCTAAAAGGTAGATATGCAAATGAACAAATAAAACGAATTTTTTAAGCATATGACCATAATTTTTTATCAGGAGCGTTGGCCAAGGACTCGGAGGACCCGGACAAAGGTTTAAGGAAGGCGATGACCAATGTAAAAAGCAAATTAACGTAACATAAAATTAGGCTTACTAACAATAATTGTCCTTTAACAGAAAACCTAAATAACATTATTGAATTAAAATATATTTAAAAGTATATACAAATTTATGTATTTTAAATTCTATAAGTAAAAACTCATGGGAAAAATTCTGATTTTCACAAGTGATTTCACTTGGGACGTGTCACTTGCAAGTGATTTCATAAGTGAAAACTCATGGAAAAAATTTGATTTTCACAAGTGATTTCACTTGGGACGTGTCACCGGCACGTGACAGGCCATACGAAAAATGAGTATAAGGAACAAGTGATATCCCGTGGGACTTCGAAAAATTTTCATTTGAATTTTCACTTGTGAAAATGCGGACATCCCATACAATTTTCTATATGGAGCGTCACTTGTTCTTCACTTGTGCAAGAGGACATGTCCCGCGGGATTCACAAGGTGATTCACAAGTGAAACTTTTTTATTGGAACTGAAGGGTATTTTTTCGTCCGGAAACAGCTGGCTTAAAATTATTAAGCCTAGTACTTAGATCGGCACAGAGTTTCACTAGTCGAAAAATCGTATTCTTTGAAGAGTGACCGAAGTTTCAAAGCTTACCCGCAATGCATGCCGCATGATCTTACTGTCAAGCAGCTGGGCTAGTTGCCAAACGGAAAACAAATCAATTGGAGCAATATAAAAAAGAAGAGTCTGCTGGTGCACAAAGAAATGATAATAAAAATAAATGAAATGTTAAACGAATGTTTGAATTTATGTAAATTAGAAGTTTAAGGCTTCCTTCTCGTCCCACGTATGCTTCTCCACCATCTCCGCTTTAGCGGACAGCTCGTCGGAGATCGAGCGATGTCCCATGTTCCTTCCCACTGGAGTTCTCTAGTAGATCTCCCCCAGCACTTGAACTATTCTGCGGATTTGCCCCGTTGTGGTTTTGCTTCCTGTCGGTCAAGTCCCACAATAATTGGCAACAGCTTGGATTAGGCGACCTTTTTCATCTGCACTGGCCTCCTTTAGCCGTTGTTGGTGTTTTTCTTCCATGTTTAGTTTTTAAATTCCCCCCGCTTCTGCACAAACACCGCCAAAGATTAAATATCTTATTCTTGGGCCGCGGCTAACGGCGTTCATCGAAAATTCACTCACGAAATATGGTATTTTTTCTGGTATTTCTTTAGCTCATCTGAGTACTGCGCTGAACAACAGACCCGACGAAAAGCGTTAGCCGCTTATCTGCCTCTCGCTCACTTCTATGGTTAGCTCGCTATTTTCGTCGATGTGAGTACTAGGCTTTAGATGTGAAACAATGCGAAGTCCATACAGCGTTGAATCGGTTGATAAGGACCCATTGCTTTTAACGATCGGTGATGCATATGCGCTGCATTCTGAACAGCCTTTATACAAAACAGTAATATTTGAATGATTTATACCGCAGTTGCCATCACTAGCCAATACAAAATCGACACTTTGTTTTCTGCGAATTATTTGCTAACAAAAAGCCTGAAAAATGCCACCACTTATATATTATTTATTATCACTTATATCTTCCCATTAGCAGTAGTTTGAAGTATTCATAAACTATTTAACTCTGCAGTGTTAATTTTATGCTTGAGATGCCATGCACACAGACTAATAAGTGCTAATAATCCGGCAGCGGCTTGGAGATGGCAACATTACCACCAAATTAGTAATTTACTGAGATAAATCTTCTGATCATGATATTTTACGACTACATGCGTTGGGTAATAAACAACGAAAAGGTCTACAACTGCAGTTAGTTCCGTCAGTGTGCGAGAGTTTGACGCATTGGTGTATGTGTATAGAAAGTTTGAACATCAGGCGTGGCTAGACAGTGATGTCTGGCATTACTCTAACCAAGTTAAAGCCCGGAAGCATCCCCAATACAAGCATCGACAGTAACACGCTCAGTAGTACTCTAGCCCATCTTATGGAAGAGCATTATCCGCAGTTGGGAGCGGCAACGGGACAAGCACAAGCGACCACATCTACTGGAGGGTTAATTTCGGACAGAGCGGAGCATCTGCGACTCCAGGGCAGTCGCCTTCAGACCTCGCGCTTTGCTTGCTTTCAATGTTTCGGTAACTTTCTCACTTATCTGGTAAGGCTAAGAAGTACGCCTGAGGAATTGGAGCAACGATACAAGTCGAAAGAGATTGATAGATTTCTGAAGAAGGAGAAGCACACATTTCGACGACAGGTAAGCCAGAAGGTTAACGGGAAAACCTTTCCCAGGTTCAAAATCTTTTTTTTTTGCCTTAAATAGTTTTTAAACTAAGATTTTTTTCGTCTGCTTGCTAAACAAAACTGAGTTTAAACACTGCATTTTAATACTTATTAAAACTAACTTTAAGTTTAATACGCATACGATAATACTGCCCTTATACCATTGTAACAAATAGTTTAATCCTCTTTTAACTTTACGATTAGTTTTAGTTAGTTCTTAGTTTGTGTAACACAGAAATTTATATTAACCCGATCGGACTTTACGTTATTTAAGTTATCTTTATTATATGTGATTTTAAGCCCCCTATTTACACGGATCATAAGATTCTTTAAAAACTTAAAACAAGATGCCAGCTTATGTAAAAGGATACTAAAAGGTTCCCATCAGTGTAAGACATTTAGGAAGATATTGCTTTGGGATGACAGTAACAGTATCATTGTGACAGCTTCATATAAATCACGAAGGGAGAGTAAGGGGCCGTCCATAAACCACGTGGACAAATTTTCAGCACTTTTTTAACCCCCCTCCCCCCTCGTGGACAATCGTGGATTTTTAACTAACCCGCCCCCCCCTTCCCATTTTGTCCACGAGAACTTTTTCATTGAACATTTTTTTTTCTTATTAAAAATTATATCTAGAGATTTTTAAAAATGGTAAATAAATACACTCATGGACAATATAATAGGTGTGTTTTTTTTTCATTTTTAACTTTTTATTTCTAATTCTTATCATCTCCAATCTCAACAAAACAAACTTTTTTCAAAACTTATATTAATTGTCTTTAAACAAAAAGTAGCAAAGGTTTCACAAACCCTATCATAAACAACTAAATTAAATATTTCCTTAAATCCTCAAATTTTGGCTGGACACAATAATAGGTGTACAAAGATAAATGTTTAAATTAAATCAATATTTCACTATGTTTGGTCTTTTTTTATATTAAACTAAGTATCTGGCAGCTAATAGCCGGTATATCCGCCATTATTTTGCAGGACTTTCTCCATTCGTCTTGGCATGGAGGATATTAGCTTGCGACATGTGCCAATTGGAATATTGTACCATGCTCTTTGGACAATATCCCAAAGTTGACTTTTATTTTGACATAAAGTCTTTCCCACCTCTCTTTTGAGTTCACCCCAGAGATTTTTGATGGGATTAAGGTCCGGGGATTGACTTGGCCACTCAAGAACATCCACATTTTGCTCTCGGAACCAATCCCGTTCAAGTCTTCCAGGACGATTGCCAATGAAATTGGGAATATTGTGTCATCACGGACCGTTAGGCGACGATTGGCAATAGCAAACCTACCAGGTAGGATTGCTCGCAGGGTTCCTTTGCTTCGGTCGGAAAATTTACAGATGAGTAAAAAATTTTCATTAGATCGTAGAACCTGGTGCGGACCAGAGGGTGAGAAAAAATGACGTAATATCCTCTGGAGTAATGAAACCAAAATAAATTTATTTGGAAATGATGCCAAAAGGAATGTTCGTCGTCCGATTGGCAAAGAATTTGATCCTAAATACACATATAAGACTGTGAAACATGGAGGTGGTAGCCTAATGGTATGGGGCCGCTTTTCATGGTATTGTGTTGGTCCGATTCATCGCATTGACGGAATAATGGTCAGATTTGTTTACAAAGATATATTGGAGACGATGATGCTACCATAATCCGAGTATGATATGCCACTTTTATGGAAGTTCCAGCAGGATAATGACCCGAAGCACGCCTCTGGAGTAGTAAAGGATTGGTTCCGAGAGCAAAATGTGGATGTTCTTGAGTGGCCAAGTCAATCCCCGGACCTTAATCCCATCAAAAATCTCTGGGGTGAACTCAAAAGAGACGTGGGAAAGACTTTATGTCAAAATAAAAGTCAACTTTGGGATATTGTCCAAAGAGCATGGTACAATATTCCAATTGGCACATGTCGCAAGCTTATATCCTCCATGCCAAGACGAATGGAGAAAGTCCTGCAAAATAATGGCGGATATACCGGCTATTAGCTGCCCGATACTTAGTTTAATATAAAAAGAGATCAAACATAGTGAAATATTGATTTAATTTAAACATTTATCTTGTGTCCAGCCAAAATTTGAGGATTTAAGGAAATATTTAATTTAGTTGTTTATGAAAAGGTTTGTGAAACCTTTGCTACTTTTTGTTTAAAGACAATTAACATAAGTTTTAAAAAAAGTTTGTTTTGTTGAGATTAGAGATGATAAGAATTAGAAATAAAAAGTTAAAAATGAAAAAAAAGCACACCTATTATATTGTCCATGAGTGTACATAGAAGTTTAATAGTAAATTTAAAAGTGGAATAAATAACATAAAGGTTAAAATTAAATTTTTACTATGTCCACGTGGACATTTACCTCAAACCCCCCTCCCCCCCTCGTGGAAAATCGTGGACTTTTGACGAACCCCCCCTCCCCCCAAAACTGTCCACGTGGTTTATGGACGGCCCCTAATCACAATATGTTATATTGGCCCAAAAGTTATTTCGTGCAGGGGTGTACAGGGGTGCTACTGAAATCAGTTCAGCGGTATATCGTGTAAAATGTACATACATACATGCGCATAAGAAACTTACACTGAATGAGCGATCTGCGATTTCTGTGGCACCCCGATACTTTAATTTATAAATTGTATAGCCAATGGCCTTTTTAAGGTAACTACACAATTTTAACGCAGTCTTGTTCAGTAGTATTTTAACATTCAGTGCCGTTTTCTCGTCTGTCCTGCAAAGTATTATTTTAAAATACATTTTATTAGGCGGCAGTTCGGTTTTCTTTTTTCCGTTCGTCATTTATAACTCCGAGTGAAAGATATAACACGTTGCGACTAGGTTGCAACCCCACAATAGAAGAGCTAGCTAATTGTCAAAAATGTATGGAAAAATTAACGAAAATTACCATAAAGCAGTCATAATATCAGCTGATAGCTTAAACAAAATTTTAAAAAATATTAAAACAATTTCTGCGGAAAAGAAATTTCGTGGAAAAATTATACTATGAGCAAAAGACAATTCTCGTAAAACTGGTTCCAGAGCAGAAGACCATTGGGAACTTGGATATCCTATAAATCTCAACATTTTCTTAAAGATCATCAGAGAGCGGGAAATTAATGAACTGTTTTGATGAGTGCTATACGGAAAGAAATCTCCTTAATAACTGTAAAGGCTGTGGCCACGCAAACACCACAAAAATAGACTACAGTTATAAAAAGACTGACCCTCGCGTGATATGACATGTTTAACCCATGAGTAAATGGTCGTTTCCCTTAAATAGTTGATTTGGATTACATGGAATATGTTAAACCAAAAAAATACACTTACATCTTTACTTTGGATCAAAGTTTCTCGCCAATCTTTCACAAAACAAATAGTGTCTTGTCTAGCACAAGCAAAAACTTTTTAACAAATTCTTAATCACCGTAATGTTCGATGTAATTTTTTGGCCTTAATATGAGCACCGATAGGTTCCCATTATATACATTTATACAGTTGCGGCAAAAAAAATAGCACCATTGTGTAGGCAGTTTTTCTGTGTGCTGTAAAATGGCCATATTTTACAATATCTGTCGCAAAACTGCGGCAACAAAAATAGCTCCATTAACTGTACCTGCATTAAAACTTTAGTTGTTCAGAGCTTTTTGTTGTTCTATTGGTTTGCTGTATAAGGAATAATTACAATTAAGTTATTTGGTAAAATAATTAATAAAATAGTGTTCCTAGCACAAAAAGCTAATTTCTGAATACAATGCAAAAGATGTTACTTTGAATCGTCGAGTTCTTAAAAGTAATAACTAGTAGTGACCTAAAACAAGAACCCAAAAGATTAAGACAAAGTAGAAAAGCCGCAATGACCCCATAACTGCAAAGAGTTCAGGTGCAGTAAAGAAAGTAGGTCCCGATTCAATTTTTAATATTTGTGGGTACATGAAAAGTACATAATCAAAAAGTTTGCACCTGACGATCAAAAAATCTTCCTAGACTGCAAAGCATGGGTGGATTTGTAGAACGGGTCTTAAATAAGGCCCACAATAAGAGCAACATAAATTTTATGTTCTGGCGGCTGAAACTTTTTTAGGTTTGAATAAAAATGCCTTCAAATTCACATACGAAAATTAAAAATTCCAATTCACATTTGCATAAAACAATACTAGTGGAACTATTATAATGATATGGGCCTGTTCCTATATTTTACCCAATACAAAATTCATTTATTTTGGAAGCTTTACCACGATTATAAAAAAAAGCAAATCAGATAGAGTCTAAATGGGGTAATGGACCTTATAGGCTTCAGAACTAAAACACAGAAAATCTTTGCATAAATGTTATTAAACAATGTTTTTAATGCAAAACCGATATAAAAAACAGCTCTTGAAATTTTTTTGGGCGAGTAACACAACAATACCCCCAAGAAAAGATTTTGGAATCTAGTGACGTCAAAATCGGTTGTTACTCTCGTAGAGTAAAAGGATATATAAGGTCAATCGGAAATAATGTATCAGGTAGAAGAAATCGTTTTCGTTTAGTTATGTCCGTCTGTCTGTCCGTATGAACGCTGGGATTCCGGAAACTTACAACAATATCCCCAACAATATCCCCAAGAAAAGATTTTGGAGTCTAGTGACGCCAAAGTCGGTCGCTACTCTCGTAGACAAAAAGGATATATAAGATCAATCGGAAATAATGTATCAGGTAGAAGAAATGGTTTTCGACCCTATAAAGTATATACATTCTTGTTGAAGATCGCTAGCCGAATCGCTCTAGTTATGTCCGTCTGTCTGTCCGTATGAATGCTGGGATTCCGGAAACTTTAAGAGCAAGAATGCGCAGCGTAAGATTGTTTCATTGGAGTGCCACGCCCTCTCATAACGCTAAAACCTGTCTAGCACCCACATTTTTAAAGATTTTGTAAAGTTTTGTAAGTGGGATACCATGCCAAAAATAGTTCAAATCGGACTATCTA